ATCTTATTTAGATATACAGACCAGATCTCTGAGGAGCTCGGTGGAGCCCTCCTCGGCAACAGGCCACGCCCACAGGAAGTCCTGTTTCTTTCTTTAATGTACCTGTTGTTAACCATAACCAAGTTTGTTCACTGCCCACTTTATCTTTTATTTTTTCCAGAAATTGGCCATGCAGTGCTTTGTTCTGCCAACTCTCCAAAGCACTGCATGGTCAATTTGGAGTTGTTGTTGTTGTTATTATTATTGTGCCAGTGCTAACTACAACCTAATCATTCCTCTTTGACTTACCCCTCAAAGCAGAAATCTTTATTTCCATATTCTGCCAGAATGAGGGCTTCTTCTTGTTGTGAACATTTATACATAAGGATACCTAAACCAAGATTTGCTTTAGATATAGGAATCTTGCCATTGAAGGGATGTAAAAGAAACACTAATTAGATGACATGTCTAATTGCATAGGTGACAGTAACCAAAAACAGGAACAACCGGGATACAGGCACATTCGTTCCTAGAACCTTACCATTCTCTGCTCAGCCATAGTGCTTATTTGGACTGATTATGTGCCATCAAGTCAACTCTCAACCATCATATAGATCTGTGATGGCGAACCTATTGCATGCATGCGGGAAGTGGCACGCAGAACCATTTCTCTGGGCATGCCAGCCATTGCCTGTTGCTCTTCCAGGTTCCGGCATGCACATGGGCCGGCCAGCTGGTTTTCTTGTGCACAGGAGCACCAGAAACTGAAAGAGCAGTTCCCTGATGCTCATGCACATGCCGGGAAGGAGAGCTTCCATTTTCCGGTGCTTACATGCGCACCAGCCATTTGGTCTTCACACACGCATGCATGCCAGAAACGAGAAAATCAGGTGATCAGCATGCATGTGCATGTTGGAAACCGGACGCTCAGCTTCCCAGTGCACGCATGCATGCCAGGGAATTGCTCTTCTGGTTTCTGGTGCTCTTGCACGTGTGCGCCGGGGAGCTGCTCTTTGGTTTTCAGCGCTCCCCCTTGCACATGCTTGTACTTTGGCACTTGGTCCCGAAAAGGTTCCGCAACACTGATATAGATCAATAACGTGTGATGATCCTCTCCTAACTGTAGGTTAGGTACCTGTAGTCTGAGCCTGTGTGTGTCAAATTTGGAATGTCTATTCCCCTGTAAGAGTCCTTAATTCCAGTCCTGGTTGAAGTCCATTGATCTATCTGGCATCAATTTGCCTTGACCATTAGTAGGTTTATAGGTAGCATGAAATAAACTTGTAGTACTTTTCCTAATTCCTGGTTTCTAATTTTTTGCGCCTAGCAGTAATCCGGTCTTCCAGATCTTCCAATGGTGCTTCCACATGACTACTGTAACTGAGTCTATCTACCTTCCTGCTGGATGTCTTCTTCTCTTTCCTCCCACCTTTCGCAACATCAGAGCCTTCTCTAGAGAGCCAGATCTTTGCACGATGTGTCCAAAGTAGAATATTCTACTTTGTTGATTTGTGTCTGGAGTGAGATCTCTGGGTTGATTTGTTCAGTGATTCCATTGGTTTGTTTTCCTGGCTGTCACAGTATTCTTAGGAATCCTAACACCATAGTTCAGAAGCATCAATATTCTTCCCATCCGACTTCTTCCAAGTCCACAATGTTAATACCAGAATTGAATGTTCACTAAAAATTGTAACCTGTGTCTTTTTGCTCTTTATTGTACAGCTGACATAATATCTACAGTAGAGTTTAATCATTCTGGAGAATTGCTAGCGACGGGAGACAAAGGCGGTAGAGTTGTCATATTTCAACAAGAGCAAGAGGTAAGGTTTTCATTTTCTCCTTTTTTTGTAGTTGCTCAAAAGTAGAATTGATTTAGTCATAAAAGTGCCACTTGCCCTATTTGATATGATTGAGTACAAAAAAATGGTCAAAAGTTTCTCCTCACATTACAAATGCAGTTGTCCCTGTTTATATAGTAATTCCATTGTATTCACTTGGATTGTGGCTAGACCTGCATAGGTAGAATTACAGGAAATAGTGACAAACATGATTATAGAATCACATACTCTGCTTGCTTGCTTGTTTTAAGCCAAGAGAAAGACCAATGTGATCTGACAATTGGAAATGAATGAGTCTTGGGAACCTTTATGTTTAATATTAAAAAGTATGAGTTGTCTTTGACTATTACCTTAATGGAACCTGGAATTTCTGGCATATATGATGACAGTTGATAGTTGAGGCACCCATGTGACCAACCTGATTTTATGACTTTCTATGCAGCAGTTATTAAGCAAATCCATTGTTAGTGAGTTAGTGTGTCTCTGAAGTGGGCCGTGGGAGGAGTCACAGCTGGGTATTGTCATGGCCCATCTGCCTGGAGACTGAGGTAAATCTTAAGGCCACACCTATACCCCTCCTCTGACTCTCCAGATTAACCTCAGTCTTCGGCCCAGAAGGAGCTAAATACCTGGCTCTCCTTGGCGTGAGATTTTTTTCTCTTTTTTGTGTTTTTACCTTCGAAGATTTTTTTTCCTTTGGATTGACATCCTCTGGTGCGCTCCGCAATCAGCCTGAGCCAATATTGAATCCTTCTTGAAATAATGATGACCCTTGTAGTATATTGAAGTACCTGCTGTCTGAAATGCCATACTCTTCCTCCTCCCCCTCCCCCCATGCAGCTGGTTATGACTTTGTTGGTGTTCTGGGAAGCCTTTACACATGGCTGTTCCCCAGGCATGATGGTTAGAAAATTAATGAAGCCCATGAAAAGATTGCTGTTATTTGATTGTTGTTGATGGCTGCTACTATAGGTATATTTACTGTTTTTGCTATTGATTGCTTTGTTGAGTTTAAGTTCGTTATGTCAGATGTGAAAGACCTGGTCCGCACAAATAAAGGTCCAATTAAACTGATTTATTACCACTCATGCCTATGCACAAGAATCTTCTCAACTAAACAGTTAGCATTTGCTTGAAGTTAGATGAGGGTCAACATACCATATTTTTGGAGTATTAAGATGCACCTTGTTCCCACACAAAAAGAGGGTGAAAATCTGGGTGCATCTTATACACTGAATACAGTATTTTTGGCCCCCCAAACCCTGTCCCCTTCAGAAAAATGGCCGTGCATAGCAGTGGTGGGTTTCAAAAATTGTTGGAACCTACTCTGTGGGTGTGGTCTCCTTTGTGGGAGTGGCTTGCCGCCCAT